ATGGGGCACTTTTTCCATAGTTCAGAGAATTTAAAATTTTGTCTCATATTGACCGAAAAATAAGTAGATTGGTAGTTGTCTCTCTGGTTACTCACGAGTGAGCACAGCTATGGGCATGTAGTCTAGTTGGCCACGGATAAATATGATTTCATTTTTAACCTGGATTCATAGGAGTCACTCTAGTGTGCAAGGAGCCAAGTGTTTAGCCACTTTAGTCAGAGCTTATCCATAATCCCCTTAAGCTAGTAAGGCTTCCATATTTTACTTAAGAATATGTGTATGACTTATTGAATGCTGTCAAATGAGGCCTCTATTCCATTTTGATTGTTCCTGAATGGATACAAGCTAGAACACAGACTTCTGGATATGGAAATAGACTTCAAGGATAAATGTGCTGAAAGGAGGATATTTTTTTATCGCCTCCGTTCCTGAGTAAATCTCTTACATTCTGTCCACACTACTATTTTTCTGGTGGGTTCTAATATCACAGAGCTACTCTGAATTATTCTCCACTAAAGATCTCTATTTACATGGAAGCAGCAGTCAAGAAATTAAATTATGTATTACTTTTGAAAATCTGCTCAGAACTCAGTGAATCAGGAAAGAAAACAAGAAATACACAGAGGAATTAAGATAAGTGATTGCAATGTGGGGATTGCAACAAAGGACTTGAAACAAATTGTTTATGAATTATTGAATGTAAAACTGATTTATTTATAAATCCTTACCGAGTTCACAATGAAGTTTTTAAGTGTCTTTAAAGTATGTATAAGCAAATAAAACTTTGATGACAAGTATAACTTACTCAAGCTATGATCTTTTCAACATATCATATCGTGTGAAAGCTGGACAATAGGAAAGGAAGAAAGGAGACCTAAGGAATGTGAGCTCTGGTTTTGGTGAAGTTACTGAATGTATACTACAAACTGCCAGAACAAATACATCAGTCTTGGAAGAAATACAGCCAGAATGCTTTATAAGGGAGGATGGCGAGACTTTGGGATATTATTTTGAGCATGTGATTAATAAAACCAATCACTAGAAAAGGATGTTATGGCTGGTGTAGGGTTAGGAAAACAGAAGGAAATTCTTAATGAGATATATTGACACAGTGGCTGCAAAATTAGTCTCAAGCATACAAACAATTAGGAAGATGGTGCAGGCATGGGCACTATTTTATTCTGTTATACCTAACTTTGCCATATTTGCAGTTGACTAGACCAAAGGTAGTTAACAATAAAAATCTCTATTGTTTTCAACAAAGTCTATAGGCATGAAGTCTTCCAAGATCTGTTCCAAATAAAGTCAGTCCCTTCAGGCAGAGCTGATAAGCTCTTTTTATGGCATGCCTCTCCCTATGAGCAGAAACTGTGGACTACTGAACCTAAGGTAGGACTGAGTATAGTAGCCTATTTTTCTTGCTGTGACATTCCTGCTCTAATAGTGAACACTGGGGATATAGTAACCTCTGGTCTTTCCAGCTTGTCCCTTTCCTCTTGTAAAGGTCATCCTATACATAAACTAGACTAGAGGAGACTGAGGCTCCGTGGCTAGTATTCTCAGTCTGCTAAACCTGAGGCAGGGCTCTCATTCTACATTGGGAGTCCAGACTTGCTTGGGACAGCCACTAGGAAAATCCCCCTCTTCTGTGTAAAAAACCTCAGAAATATGAAGGAGAATACCTATTTGAAAGAATCATTACAAAGGAGTGAAGGGGCTATTGAAATGAGAAGAGACTGTTACAACAGGGTGAGAGCTCTGATCATAAGATCTGCAAGTGTTTCAAGAGGCAGGCATATTTCCTTTATCAGGGAGTGAACAAGGCTAGAAATAATTGGTTTGAGGAAAAGAAATGAAAGGGTCACATGACTCAATAGTAAATCAGATAAGACCTCAAAAATTTACTGATCACAGTGGGTGTTCTTCTTCATATATCAAATATAATAAAATTTAATGTGCTTGGTTTATGGTGCTAGCAAAGAATACTGAAAGTACCATGGACTTTCAAAAGAACAAACAAATCTACCTTGGAAGAAGTACAGTCAGAATGCTTAGAGGCAAGGATGGCAAGATGTCATCTCACATACTTTGGACATGTTTTCAGGAGAGACCAGTCCCTGGACAATGACACCATGTTTGGTAAAGTAGAGGGGCAACAAAAAAGGAGGAAAGCACTCAATTAGATGGTTTGGGAGAAGTTGTAACAATGGGTTCAAGCAATTGTGAGGATGGAGCAGGACCAGGAAGTGTTTTGTTCTGCTGTGGGTCAAAAAGGACTCGGCCCCTAACAATAACAACAACAAGATTTAATTGAGGATTATAAAAGTTCAAGCTTAATATCAGTTTTCCTGGGCAGCAGGGTGTTCCAAGGAAAGGCTGCCTTGCTCTATTTAGGTTATTTCCTAGACCGAGTTCATTCCTAAAATGTCCAATAGAGAGCATGATGCCACTGCTGGTACTAAGTATGACTTTTCAACTTTGTCTCAGTAATCCCTAAGACGTAAGGTTTGAGTGGCTAGACCAATGTTTACCCAAATGGGTGATTTTGTCCCATGAGGAGAGCTGGAATGATATATGGGAAGCTGCAAAATAGGTACTTACACTTTATCCTGTATTATAAGCTATAGTACAACAAATTAATTTCCAGGGTAGTATTGAGTAATTTTTCTGAAAAGGGGATGGATAGTAGGGCAAATAAATTTGGGAACCTATAGAGAAAGAAAATAGAGAATTAGTACTATTAAATCTCAATTAAATCTTGTTGTTATTGTTAGGGGCCATCTAGTCCTTTTTGACCCACAGCAGAACAAAACACTTCCTGGTCCTGCTCCATCCTCACAATTGCTTGAGCCCATTGTTACAACCTCTCCCAAACCATCTAATTGAGACCTTTCCTCTTTTTTTTGTTGCAACCTAACTCTTCTATTTCCTCAGCAGTGACTCCAAAGAAGTCTAAACTTTCAGAAAGTGTGTGGCCTGCTTTGAAATATTGTGTAAGTTTACCCAGCATAGTGTTAATAGCACTTCTAGGACCATGATTTGGCTTTTTGGTTCTCTATGTCTAAAATTTCAAAAAAGAGGGGAACCATGAATTCACTATGTTATCAATCTTGCTATTATTATTCTTCATAATGTAAAAAAGCATGAGCCTTGGAGTAAGACAAAATTAAATTTACCGCCTCAACCTGGCACATTTTAGCTCTTTGATGCATTTACTCTTCAGGTTCACATTTTTAATTTTGGTAATATATGCTTGAAACACATACTTCAAGTGCTATCTGGAGGTTATGTTGTGTGAAAATATCTCTTTTCTCCAGAGGTAGGGAAAACAGTGTGTCCATGATTTGAAACTGGAGAATCAGTGTCTGAGATGACGGGGTTATGAGGTAGGGAGATATCCTCAGGCCATTTAGAATCAGTATGTATAAGGCACTAGTATTAACAATGGAATCTAGAAAATATCTGATCTGTGCAATAGTTGTAAATTGTGGTTTTATGTGTGTGCTATATTTTCCCCACATAATCTAGCAATATGTCATAAAATCTCATTAAAAGTTACAGCCAGGTTTCTGTCCTGTTGTAAGAAATTAAGGAAGGATGAGGTAAGAATACATTCTGGGTATAAAAAGACAGAAGATACAGAACAGCGTTTTCTTGCCTGAGATCAGTGTTGTTTTCCTTGTTCACCAGTTGAAAACCAACTTCATTCAGAGGAGCCATAATCTCATGAGGTTCTGAAGTTGCAGAAAGTTAGTACAGTACCGCGCTGAGGATTTAGAAAAGACAAATGAAACTTTCTGGAAAACAGGTAAGGCTGTGGCATGCCTTTGTGCCTATGGATTACAATTGTGTAAAAAGGAATGTCCAGGCTCAGTGTTTTATGAATAGTTTATGTGGAAATTGGGATTAAAAAACAAAACAAGGAACCAACAAAACAGGCCTATTCAGCATGTAGTACCATTTTCTTAAAATACTATCTTGACACAATTTTTACCTGATTGGAGATTGGTCTGTACCCCTTCTTCAGCAGATGATTAAGTTCATACTACAATCACTACCCCTATCAGGTTCTCACATAGCTGGGCCACGAGGTCCCTGTTCTACTTGCCAGATCCAGGTAACCAATAGCTAGAGACAACGCTTATGTCCCAAGCCTGTGGAATTATTCAAAATGCAAAATCTTGAGGGTCCATACAACCTAGCCTGTCTTACATTCATTTTTCCTCTTCTATAATTGCATCTGGTCATTACCTTGATCCAAAGTACAATCTCATGTAAGGCCCTGCTTCATGGCATGCTGTGACTGTCTATCTCTGGGACCTGTAAATACAATAAAGCTAGCTACTTTTTAAGACTTCCATGATTCTTCTTTCTCGTGTGGCACGGGATTTATCATTCCATGATTTTGTTAGGAGCACTGCTTTGCACTAGTACTTGGGCCTTGGTAAACAGAAGATAAATCCAAAATGGCTATGAGCATTGGCTTAGAAAATTCTGCGCAATAGCAAGGAACCTGTGTAGTGTGTACTTGCTTGACAGTGAAAGAGTAAAGAAATTTTGGAATATTCTGGTAGATGTGACTCACCTTTACCTCTTTGCTTGGGTTACTTATATTAGCATGGGTAAAGAAAAAAGGCTAGACTATATATATTTGGTTAGCTGGATAGAAGAATCCTGTGTGATTTTTAACAACTCATTTAATATTTTAAAAACTGACCAACTTTTCTAAAATTAAAACAAAGTCATTTCATAATATAAAATTTGGCTGCATAAAAATTGTACATATATAATCATTTTATTGGGGGCTCTTATAACTCTAATCACAATCCATATATACATCCATTGTGTCAACCACATTTGTACATATGTTGCCCTCATCATACTCAAAACATTTGCTTTCTACTTGAGCCCTTGGTATCAGCTCATTTTTTCCCTCCCTCCCCATTATCCCCTCCCTCATGAACCCTTGATAATTTATAAATTATTATTATTTTGTCATATCTTACACTGTCCGACGTCTCCCTTCACCCACTTTTCTGTTATGAAGTAGGAGTGTTGTCTGATTTACAGCTGAAGTTGATGTCCATCACTGGAGTTCAAAGTTTTCTGTGATTACGAGGCATTCTAGTGAGGTTGAACATCTATTTTTTCATGCATATCCTCTAAAGAAAGAATTCACTCTAAGGGAAGAGCAAGTGTGCCAGCAAATTTAGGTCAGTGACAAAACTAAGCTTTTGGTCTGTTCCGCTTCTTAAGCAGCTGGTTAAGTTCATGGAGACATGAATCTGTCGGGACTTTGGATTTGTTTTCTGATCAGCCATCCCTCTTAAATGTTAGGGCAAAGGGGGGCCTGGAAGTAAACTCTGATCATCGATTTTTTTTCAATTTTTATTATGGAAAAATTTAAGCATATACAAACGGGTAGCAAATAGCATAAAGAGTTCCCAAATATCTATCACACAGCTTCAATAATTATCATTTCATAAACAATCTTATTGGATCTATGTTCTCAATTATCCCACACTTAAAATTACTTGATGCAAATACCAGTAGCATGTCGTTTCATCTGTAAGTTTTTCAGCACATCTCTCTAAAAGAATTTTAAAGATAAAAACATAACCACAATTCTGAATTGCATCAAAAACTTAGAAGATGTGTTTTTATTTGTAATTCTGGAAATTTTAGGACACAATGAATACATTTCATGGTAACAGAAAGAAAATTTGTAAACTAAATAACTATCATATTGAAGGCACTTTGGTACCTTTGTGGGAGATTGGGGACAAATGCATCTAAATATCTTTGTCTTTTTCTTAATTTTGTATTCCTGGAGGCAGATAACTCAAGTCCACTCTTTCAAAATCCTTCATTTCCTATTTCCTACTTACAACAGTCTCCTTCCTCCCCCATGGGTTTTTCAAGTGCCAACAGTTTAGCTCTCAGCCCTGGCTTTGCATTCTCACTTGCAGAATACTGGTGCTTTGAGGAGCTTAGTGTATTTATTTGAAAAGGGGATAGAAACTGTGGCCAATTGAATTAGTAAGAGAAACCTAGGCAAAGTAAATGGCATAGTTAACTTGGAGATTTCCTAAACTGCATTTTTCATTGGCTCTGGCATAACATAATAAGGTATCCCAAATGTTTAAAATGAAAAAAAAAAATCAAAACCATGTTTCCTTCAAATATATGTTAAGGTAACACGTAAGAAGTAGCTAGGGCATTGGAAAAATTTACATTATTTATATATAATTTTATAATTTCTTTTCATAAACTCATAATATTATAGTGTTCCTTTGATTTTAGTTACTTTTATAACAAGTGGGATTCTTGAAAAAAATTTAAGCAAAGTAACAACAGTATAAAAACACTGAAGTTGCTATACAAAGAATTGATTCTACAAAATGTTGTCCTAAGTCATGGGGGTAATCTTGAAAATATGCTAGTCAATGTGATGCATGACACAGAAATATGAATATTAATTCTTATATTAAAAATTGTTACAATTGCCTTGAAATGCTTCTGAAATACGTGTTACACAGAAGCTACACATATGGTGTCTAGATAGCATATATTTCACTAGCACTAGATTGGAAGGGGAGTGTTTTTCTACAAATTGATTGCAAAATATTAATTCAATAAAAGAACCTTTAGTGTTGCCAACCATATTTCAAGTAGCTCAAGTGCAAGGTATGCAAAGAGTAAGGAAGTGTGGTCCTTGCCCTCAAGGATATCACTGTCTACTGGAGAAGGCAGACATCAAAAAAGTACAACAAAAATCTCCATTGAGTTTGTTCATGGATAGTACAACAACTAGGGCAAGAGGAGTCAGTGGAATAGACAGAAAAGGAGTGTCCCAAGATGTAGGCAGAAAATCAGGTGTGCTGTCTCCTTGAGACCATGGAAACACTCTCCTGTACTTGACAATTCCACTGATCACTGGGCTCATATCAATGATTCTTTCAGGCAATCCTGAACATATTTGATGTTCATCTGGAAAAACAAACCAATATATAATTAGCAGGATTATACTAATTTACCCATAACTCCAATTAACAAATTTATCAGGGACTTATTATGAGCATCAATCATTTTCACCTTCAAGACCATTACAGGATTATCTAATGCAGGTGCAATGTATGTGTAGATCAGGAGCTGATGGGATAAGAGGTCAATATATCAGGAAGCAAAAAGTCAGGAAATGAGTGATGACTACAAATCTTGCAAAAGAGAAGTGATATAAAAATCTTAATTCATCGTTGCTACCCTGCACCCTGACTGGCTCATCTCCTCCCCGCGACTCTTCTGTAAGGGGGTGTCCAGTTGCCAACAGATGGGCTTTGGGTCTCCACTCTGCACTCACCCACATTTACAATGATATGATTTTTTGTTCTTTGATGCCTGATACCTGATTCCTTTGACACCGCATGGTCACACAGGCTGATTTGCTTCTTCCATGTGGGCTTACCGGGAGGGTGGAGGGAAGGTGCGGTGGAAAGGGGGAACCAATTGCAAGGATCTACATATAACCTCCTCCCTGGGGGATTGACAACAGAAAAGTGGGTAAAGGGAGACGTCGGACAGTGTAAGATATGACAAAATAATAATAATTTATAAATTTTCAAGGGTTCATGAGGGAAGAGGGAGTGGGGAGGGAGGGGGGAAAGAAGGAGCTGATATCAAGGGCTCAAGTAGAAAACAAATGTTTTGAGAATGATGATGGCAACAAATGTACAAATGTGCTTGACACAATGGATTGTGGTAAGAGTTGTATGAGCCCCAATAAAATGATTTTTTTTTAAATCTTAATTCAATGTGGTTCTCACTCATCAAAGATTTTTGTGGTCATATGCCCATGAGAATCATGACACTGCAGAAAGTTTCTTAACCTGGGTAGTCAGGAATAACTTCTCATACTTTAGAGACCCTACAGGACAGGGTCAAACTGTCCTTGTGAGTCTGCGAGACTATAACTCTTTATAGGAGTAGAAAGCCTCATCTTTCTCTCTCGGAGCAAGCACTGGTGGTTTTGATCTGCTGAGCGTATGGCTAGTAATCCAACTTGTAACAACTACATCACCAGGGCTTCTTCTCATAGGACATGTTTATGAAGTATCTATCTTTATTATACCCAATAACAAATTTTAAAACAAAACAAAAATCCCTGAGCATCAGATGATGACTTCGTGACAGTGAACCACACCTAGGAGCAATTTAGACTGTAGGTCTGTCTGATGTCAAAGCCCCAGTGTACTTTCTATCACACCATGCTCTTTCATAATAATGTCATCTTTAACGTTGGTCTCCATAATGACTTCTATACTCCTCATGGTGCTATTTGCCCATAGATGTTTAAAATCCGCTGAATACGGTAGTTTACTAGGTGACAACTACCAGGAAAATATTGAAAACACTCTTTCTGATAGTGATTGTTTTAACCTGGAAACTCTTCACAAGGGAAACCTACATATGAAAGCTCTGTTGAGCTGTGAGGCAGGGCTGTCACAGGTAACAGTGGTTTCTGAGTGGTCTCTAAAACTTGGAAACCACATAGAGAGAAGCTTTTAAGCATTTCATATTAAGTAGGACTCCATCTTCCATAGAAAAAGTCTCAAATATTGCTGACTCAAGCTATATGCTCCTACATCTGCACTGATGATATAATAAGCAATATTTTAAAATATATACAAATTGGCATTCCTATAGTAATCTTGTTCAACGAAATGATGTAAAGCAATTAAAAACATTTACGCCAATTGCCACAAATGAATCTATGCAAACAATAAAGCAACTGAATTATATTACAAACCTTCCCTTCAGTTTGAATCTTTAAGGTTGTGTTCAACAATATAATGTGTGATTTCTTTAAAAGAATTGCATATGATACAATAGATATAGCACCATTTATGCTCCCAAGCTATCTATACTAACTCCTTTCTAAAATGTCCTTTCTATACATTAACTGGAATAAAACACTGTTTATAAACCTGAAGAAAATAAATTTCTAATTTATGTCTGTAAACTTTCTTTTCCCTTTTTTATCAAGGAAGGTTAAAAGTTTAGCTATACACTGTTAATGCAATTATTAATTTTACATGTCTTCTAACATTCCTAGAAAGAGAAAAGCAAAATTGTACATCAGTCTTTGGAGCACTGAGTTGATAGAAATTTTCAATATACCAGGGGCTTCAAAAAGTTCATGGACAAATGAAAATAAAAGACAATGGAATTTTTCCACAAAGTTTTTGAAGCCCCCGTATATGATATCTGGTGACCTGTTTTAGCCTGAATTTCCAGTATTGGTCTTTAAGAGGAAAAAAATAATCTCCTTGGACCTTTTAATTATTCTTACCAGACTAGGTTCCAGAGAATATTTCACAAGAAGTACTTAAATGGACTGGCATCAATCCTGACAAACAGCAATACTAACTACTTCTGGCAAGAAAAGAGAAAAAAAAAAAAGAAACTCACAAAACATTTATAGACTAACAATTCTTAATGGGCTAATGTGAGTGTTGTACAACTTCTGTCTTTATCTAAACCATAATTTGAGAAGCAAACAAAGTTCTCAAAATCTAGCATATCTACTAAATTAATGTTAGTGTAGAATTTTAAGAATTTTCTTGAATAACAAAGTTATTGGGAAATATATTTGGGTCTATTTGAGAGTAGATAGATAGCAAAAGTCAATTTGTTTGTAATTAAAAACTGGCTTCAAATATATATTCTATATCACTTTTTGTTAGAGGAAAAATTGAAAGATACTCAATAATCATATTTGATTGGAGTAAACATTCAAATAATGAAATTGCCATTGGTGGTAAGAAATCACTCATTTCCTAGTTTACTCTTCCTGTGATAGCATTAATGCAGAATATATTTTATTTAATTAAATTTGTATTTTGTTTGACTATATTTAAATGTGTAATAAAATTCACTTTCAAAATAGTAGCACCAAATTGTCTTAAAAAGCACAGCAGTACCCACATCTTAGCTATAATAAAAATGTTAAACAACTTGTGGAATTACAATGCAAACCAAATATATTTGAAAACTTTGAAATGGGAAACTTATACATACACAATGTACACATACAAAACACTATATATTCTAAATTTTAATATATAAAGTTAAAAAATATTCTATAGGAAGGTTGGTTGTGACTGGCTGCAATTTTGGGTTATAGGCAATGTTCAGTCTCACCTGGATACAGGTTATATGTGCTTGGTATATAAAAATTCATTAAGTTATAAAGACGTGCCTTTTTGAATATATGTTGCACATCAATGAAATATTATTAAGATTAATTTATTAATTTGCTTTTTAAATTAATTAATTAAAATTATTTACCAGTTAGTGTTTAAAACCAAGTTACTTTAAGGAACATGAAAATGCTTTAAAGAATCGTTTCCTGTTTTGTAGACATTATTTACTAATGCTTAAGTGTTATACTAGGGGGTTTCCAAAAGTTCATGAAAAAAGAAAGATAATGGAATTTTTCCATGAATATTTTCCAAGCCTCTTCATATAAAGAATATTTCCACGTCTATCTGATTTCTGACATGACTGCTGGAATAGGAGGGTGAGAAACCTGTGTGTTTTAGACAGGATTCCTGATTTTAAGCACGTTTTCAAGGCCAAGGTAAGAGTTCATAATATGGGACACAAAAAAGTTCGCTGTGTGATACAAAACAGTTCTCCACAACCTTTAAGTGAGATTATATATGTATCATAACAATTTGAAACGTCTGTAGTAGCTGCTGAGTTGGTATGGACTCAATGGCAGTGAGTTTGGCTTTGATTTTGGTAAGTAACTATCAAGAAAGCTACTTCCATCAATTGGGATGTAATCACCAGATAAGATTGCATTCTTGTGGCTACTGGTAGTCAAGGAAGTTTGGTTGGAATTTCACTAAATTAAATGTGGGAAATAACCTTCTTTCAAAAACTCATTTATATTGAGAGAACCATGCTTCTCTTGGAGTAACTGAGAAAGGACATTGCAGTTGGAAGTCAAAATCCTATTACAGGAACATAGTTTACATGATAAGATCTGGAGGAGCTTCAAAAAATTCATGGTAAAATGGAATGAAAAGATAATAGAAGTTTTCCATTAACTTTTTGAAGCTTGTATATATTTAGATGTGTTTAGCTAATGAAAAATTCCTGAGCAATAGTTAAATTACACTTGAACTCTATGGGAAGTGGCTATTTCAAGTCAGCAGGGAAAATTAAATAATTGTGAAAAGTTTTGGAAAATCAAATGGTGTGTACAAAACTATCCTAAGAAATTTTCTGAAAAGGGCATATTAGATAGCAACACTTCTCAATATATAATTATTGTTGAGTGCAGTAAGAGCACACATGGATGGTAACTTTAGTTGTTAACTGTTCAAAACTAAGCTTTCAAACCAGTGTCCACTATAAAAGGGTTGTCGAAAAAGAGCTAATGCTTTAAATGAAAACATCAAATTAGTAACGGAAAAAAGATGCAACATGCTCATAGAACCAAGCTGAAATAAGTTTAAAGTCCCCGCCCACTCCTTACAAAAGAAACCACAAGAGTGGTATTTTTTAAAATGCACACAGAGATATGCATGGGGTTGGTGGTGGTGGTTAAAACAGCTCGAATAGTCCCCACAAGGGAGGGACTTTAAAACCAAACAACAACAAAAATCACTAGGCTTCCGTTCACTACGAAGGGAAGGGATTTTCAATGCATCTGAAAAGCTTGCCTGGCAACTGAGACCCTTTGCCAGCATGATTCAGATGTTTGCCAAGGAAACAAAAGAAGCCTCCCTCCTCCGCTGGCGAGCGCACATGGCATCAGAGGTGCTGCAGGCATGCCTGGATTGAAGGGAGGCAGAAAAGCCGAAGTCGATGCAGAAGCGGTACGTACTAGGACTGGCTATCCGGCGGAGACGAGGCGGTGGAGAGGCCATTGCCTTGGGAACCGCCCAGCTGCAGTTTCTCCAGGTATTCGGCGTGCACGGGCTTGTGGCACTGGAGCACCCTGATGGCCTCTTCGACTCGGAACCACTGCCGCTTCCTGCCGATGCTGACGGAGTCTTCCCAGTCTTCCAGCAGCTCGGTGACCGTCAGGACGAACACGTACGTTCGGTGCTTGGGCTCGTGGCTCTGTTCGAAGACGCCCAGTAGCCGCCCCAAGTTCCCCTTGACCCCTGCCTCCTCGTACACCTCGCGCACCGCCGCGCTGCCGGGCTCCTCCTCGGGCTCCAAGCCTCCGCCCGGCACGATCCAGCGGTCTGGGTACCGACTGCTGCTCACCAGCAGCACCTCGTCCTCGCGCTCGCTGCGGAAGCACAGGCACGCCGCCCGCTTCTTGAAGCCCTCGGGGTCGTAGGTGCGCGTCTGGTTGGGCTTACACTTCATCCTGAGGCCGCGCCGCCCGCCCGGAGGAGAAGGGCACTGGCGAGGAGCCCAGGGGCGCTGCGGGCAGAAGCGCCCCGCCGGCCGGCCGGCGCAGGGGAGCCCGGAGCAGGCGCAGGCCGGGCGGCCGGGGTGTCAGGTACTCGGCCCCGGGGCCAGCCAGCACGCGGGTGCGACGTGGAGGACACGCGCATCCCCAGAGCCGGGACACCTGAGTGCAGCGTCGCGCCGCCGCCGCCGCCGCCGCTTCTTCCCAGGAGCTCGCGCTCTGGGCCGCGCCTCCTGCGCTCGCGCCCTGGCTCCTCCGCGCCGGGCGGCTCGGGTTGTGTGAGGTGAAGCGCATTCACGTGCGCGCCCGCGTTCCCATCCGCGTGCGTGTGCCGGGGCGGGGGTCTCGGCTCCTGCAGCGCGCCCGCCGCCAGTCCACGGACTGCGCAGGCGCTCGGGGCATGGCCGGAACATGGCTGCATTCACGCATTCAGCTAAACCTGCCTGTGGAGCCGCGCAACTTTCCTCCTCACTGTCCCCTCCAGGTGGGATCAAAGAATGGCAGCATCATTTCGCGCAAAATAAGGACATCCTCTTCGCCGCCCATAATGTATTGCACCAACTCATATGTACGAAGCCCCTGGTTTTGTCAGAGTGCTCAGAGGTATACTGGGCAAAATGTCACCTAATCTTGGCTGAATCACATTATACAGTTTTATTTCTCAGCGGATTCTTAACCTTGCCGGACATCTTAGCAAAGCCCCTAACTTAGCGGTTTGGTTTTTGTTTTGTTTTTT